TTTACACACAAATGTGATGTTTTGTTGCGAAAGGAACCCTCTAAACAAGTTCAGCTGACAAGATTAGTTGATAAATAATTTTCCAACAACATTGTCATCGCATGTTTTGTTTCACAGTGGAAATGATATGTAGTAGTAGCAGTAGTAGTAGTAGTAGTAGTAGCAGTAGTAGTAGTGGTACTATAGTATTGTTGCAGTTGGCTGAAGTAAACAGTGTTGGAGAAGAGGTCACATGCAAATCTAAGTTCAGATGTTTCCAAAGAGGAAGCAGCCAAACACGGGAACATCTGAAGCAATACGACGGAAGCTCTTTGAAATAAGAAGTTATTCTGTCACTTGGGAAATTGCGCCATGTTCTGGCTGATGAGGGTCACGTGATCCCTGGCAGGAATGTTATTGGTCCCGGGAGCGGACGTCTCTCGGGGAAGGGAGCGTTGCGGGGGCGAGGCGCTCACTCGGTACACACGATACGAGCCCGTCCTGGTCCAAAAGCCAGCCCGGCATTACGGTAGTAGCGTAGGAACTCCCACTTCAAAATAAGAGCATTTCCGGTGGACGTGCTCGAACGTGTCACATTCATTCTGCAAGTCTGTAAGTCATATAACGATGTGATAATACATTAAGAAACATAGTTAAATAGATACAATATGTATGATATATAGTATATCAACTATAACTGTAAACACACACAGTAATAATTCCTGCAAACTGTATTTATTTTAATTGTGTAATTACTTATTCAAATATAATAATACAATGTTTTACTCTTCACACAGACCAGAGAATACCAGGACATTGTTATGTAGAATTTCGAAATGAAATCCCTTAAAATGTCATTCACTTAATTCAGATTACACATTATCTTGAGTCACATAATAGTTTCACTTCAGATTTGTAGTACACTTCCTCGAGGTGTCACTCGGGCATAATCAGGACATTTTGAGGTAGTCTTTCAAAATGAAAGCCCTTCAAAATCTCATTAATAAGTCAACTTCCTCATATTTTCCGATTTGATTTTAAAGGAAAAGGTCCATAGTTACATAATCATTTTACTTCAGATTAATATTACACTGCGCCAGAGCTCCACTCATCACGACATTATAACGTTGAATTTAAAAATAAAATCCGTCTACCGACTCATCAATGAAGTTACGTTGCGCTCAGTTTGCACGCTGCTACCGTAATGCCTGGTGTGCGCGCGCACCGCCGGTTGACCGCAGTGCACCGCCCGCAGCAACAGGTTCGACCCTCTCTGCATTACATTATTATATATTATTATTATCTGTAAACCAGCGTCAGGAATGACTTGTTGTCGCTTGTTTGAACGTGTTTGGTTGTTTAGTCATTGACGTGTACGCGGATCGTTGTGTTCGCGTCCCGACGCGCTGCTGTGATACAAGTTATTAGCCAACGCAGCCCCCCTTTAACTTCAGTATTATTGAGTGAAATGACGTCGGTGCACGCGGTCTAGAGGAAGAACACATATATGTAATAAATATGTGCTAGGTTTTAAAGTTGGTAGGAATCATCATTATTATTCAGCACCACAGTTCCTTAAAGTTGGAGGTTTGAAACAAGAATTGTGGTGGTTGGCATGTGGAGTCCTGTAGCGCATTTCTTGTTCTACCTAAAAGCTCTCTGCACATTTCATTGCATTGCACCACATTCAAGGCACCGATGCGTTTGGACTGACAGGGATCAAGTAAACGCATCAATCATGACAGAGATGAGTCTTCACTGAGAAACCTTCCATCCAGTTTTCTGCTTGTTTTTATTGATGTGATGTAACTGTGTGGACCTGCTAGTGTCCCTCCATCATTGGGATGTCCAGGCGATTCTTTTACAAAGAAACAACAGTGATTCATATGTTTCCCACCAGGAGGAGACCAGAGAGCCTCCTCATGGGACAGCAGGTAGGATTCTATTTGACCAAAGTTCCCTCATCAGTTTAATTCACAGCATAAAATATGACAAACACGGATAAAATACCCAGTAAAGTGCTTGTCGGAGGAGCTCTCAGGGTCCAAGCTGCAGTCCAACGCAGCTCGCATGACGAAGACTTGAATTACACCCACATTTCCCATAGTGCACTTGGCAGCGTCTATCCAGCTTTGTGCAGCCAGACTTTATAGAAAGCTCGTCCGAACCCACTGAAGACTCGTGGTAAACCTTTAACTATTTTGGTGTTGCATGTTTGATACCTTTACAGAAATCTTGCATTAAATCCTTCTGGGATGTTCGCTGAAATTGATTGGACAGCCGTACGAGAACATTCTCCATTCATTCACCGGCCGCCACTGATGTTTACTGTCCTTTTGGACAGTTGTTCGGCTGAGGACAGGATGTGGACACTTCAGCTGGCTTTCATCGGGTTATGCCTACAGGTACGTGTCCAGCCGTGGGACTGCTGCTCGGTCATTGAACTGAGGTCTTGTCAAACTAAACAGTCAGAAGAGAATATTCACAAATGGATTAATACAAATCTAAAGGAAATCTAATTTAGAAAAAGAAAAATCAGAGAATCGTGTTGCTACCCACTCGCGTCTCTATCATGAATAGGAAACTGCTACCACCTGGTGGTTAGCTTAGCTTAGCACAAAGACTTCAAACTCTGGGAAACTGCTGGGCTGTGGTCAAATAGTAAAATGTTGATATGACCTCCCAACTTCTGACCTTAAGCACTTGACCTATGAGGAAACCGCCCCAGGCTTTAGGAAAGGTGGGAAGGGGAATTCACGAGGAGTAAAGAAAAGACAGAGACTGGGACGACACGTTGCCAAATGACCCAATGAAGAAGCCCTGAATGGACCTTTCCTTCCCTTTGGAGAATCCAGCTGGTCATGACGGCATTTAGACTCCTGTTCCTTCAACGCCACAAGAACCTTGTTGAGCAGAACTGGTGCTGCTGTTCACCGCTAGTCTGTCTTTCTCCAACAGGAATAAATGATGCCGGCCAGCTCTTCTAAAGCCCACTAATCTATTTAAACTTTAAATCTTTTTAAAGTTTTTTTAAAGACTTTTTTTAAAAGGCTTCATCAGTCAATACCCGTTTTGACTCGTAATGCTACATATGCTAAGCTAAGCTGCTGGTTCCCGCTGCATATTTACCGTACTGATCAATCTTGCATTTAATATTGAGCCGTAAAGTAAATAAGAAACACATTTACTAAAACAATGCACAACAATAAAGTAATGCACTGCACCTACCCGCAGGTATCGACTTGCTACCCATCATGCACTCTGACCGGACTCATGGCTGACTGCATTTCGCAGCAGCAGCACTGGGTTCCTGCTCTGACTCCCAACATCACCCACCTCTACCTGGAGTTGAACTACATCAGTGAGATTAACAGCAGCTCGCTCAGCAGCTACGACCAGCTGCAGCAGTTAGATCTGGGCATGCAGAGAGTGCCGCTCGTCTTACGGAACAACGCTTTCCTCCGCCAGAGGAGATTGACAAAGTTGGTCCTTGCGGCCAATAATCCCCTTCAGCTGGAGCCGAGGGCTTTTGCAGGACTCTTCAAATTACAGGAACTGGATTTGAGTTCCTGCGGCTTGGGGGACTCCATACTAGCAGACAGCTATCTGCAGCCACTCTGGTCCTTGGAAACACTCAACCTCGACAGAAATGGAATCGTGAGTGTTCGACCAGGACTCTTCTTCTCAAGACTTACAAAGTTGACACAGTTAAACCTCAAACTGAATCAGATTGAACAAATGTGTGAAGATGATCTCGTTGGATTCCGGGGAAAATACTTCAAACTCCTAAATTTGCATTCAAATAAATTGTACATCGGTTTTAGTGACAGCTTTGACTGGGAGAGATGCGGGAACCCTTTCAGAGAGATCGGTTTTGGGACCCTTGACTTATCCACCAATTCATTTAGCGTGGACAGAGCGAGACAATTCTTCAGAGCAATAAATGGCACTCCGATCGCTAACCTCACCATCTCTGGAGGCATGGGCAAAGGCTTCTCACACAGCAACCTGCCTGACCCAGACGAGGGCACATTCCAAGGCCTCGCGACCAGTTCTGTTATCCAGCTTGATCTCTCTAATAACTATATATATTCTTTGCAGAGGGCTTTTTTAAGTCCGCTACAGGACGCGGTCATTATTAATATTTCCAAGAACAAAATCAATCAGATTCAAAGAAACGCCTTCAACGGTCTTCAAGGACATTTGCGAATGCTCGTCCTGTCCGAAAACCTCTTGGGGGAAATACACTCTCACACGTTCAGCAGTCTCACAGACCTGCGGGTGTTGGATTTATCTTACAACCACATCGGCGTTTTAGGATACGACGCATTCAGCGGCCTCCCAAGATTACGAGCGTTGTATCTGACGGGAAATTCCCTGCGAGTCCTGGGTTCTCCGGCGCCGCTACCAAATCTAGATTATCTACTCCTGGGCGACAATAAACTGCAATCTCTTTTTGGAATCAGTGAATTTGGCAACAACAGTATCCACGTAGACGTTGTAGACAACCGATTGACTAACTTGCAGGACGTTTATGATATTTCAGCTCATTTCAATCGTCTCAAGAATTTCTTCTACGGGGGAAACATCATCAAGCATTGCATAATCACTCCGCAAGTCACAGTACCTCGTAATAATAGTTTACAAATCCTGGATCTTCACGACAGTTCCCTAAACACCATCTGGGCGCAGGGGCAGTGCCTCAACCTTTTCCATAGTTTAGAAAATCTTCTCGGTCTTAATTTGAGCCTCAACTCACTGTCGACTCTCCCACCAGGGGTTTTCCGCGGCCTCGGCTCGATCATAGAGATCGACCTCTCGTCCAATGCTCTGACCTATCTGCAGCCGGACATCTTTCCGCTCGGCCTGATAAGACTCGACCTCTCTAACAACTTTCTGGCCTCCCTGGACCCAGAGACTTTTCGGTCTCTGAGCTTCCTCGGCCTGGCTGGGAATCGGTTCCACTGTGACTGCAGTCTGGAGAGCTTCACCAGGTGGCTGAATGCGACGAATGTAACCTTCCTCAGCCCGGTTGAGGAGTACAGGTGTGAGTTTCCAGACGCTCTCCGCAATCTTCCACTGCTGGATTTCTCTGCGGTGGTCGAACCGTGCGTGGAAGACGACGAAAAGGCCGTCCAAGGACTTAAGTTTGCTCTCTTCATCTTGTCCACTCTCGTGATACTCGCCGTGGTCGTCGGCGGGATCGCCTACGCCCGTCTCCGAGGGCGCATATTCATCATCTACAAAAAGGTGGTTGGCAGGGTCCTGGAGGGCCCGAAGCCGCCGCCTCCCGTGGACCAAGTGCAGCACGATGCCTTCCTCTGCTTCAGCGACACCGACTATGACTGGGTGGAGGCCGCTCTGCTCAAGAAGCTGGACAACCAGTTTTCGGAGGAAAACATGTTCCACTGCTGTTTCGAGGCCAGAGACTTCCTGCCAGGCGAGGATCACCTGTCCAACTTCAGAGATGCCATCTGGGGCAGCAGGAAGACCGTGTGCGTTGTCACCAGGGAGTTCCTGAAGGGTAAAGTCGTTTTACTTTTAGTTGTAGTAACAGGCACAAGGCTTTGACGTCTGCTTCAGTTTTGGCCGTGAAATATTTTCTTTCAAGGAACATTTTGAGAGATGAAGTAATCGACGGACCCTTTAGACCAGGGGTGCTCAGTACGTCGATCGCGTCGATCTCAAAGGCAGTGCTAGTCGATCCCGTGCCATCGGTAAAAATGCGGGAGATGACCGAAACTATCCTTGCTTACTAACGGACGCATTTAATTCCAAAGCAGCCCAGGCTGACTGCAGTAAGGTAATGACCAAGAATGTGACGTTTCCTCCTTCTGACAGATGAGAGGTTCGTTGTGTTCTACTATTTACCGGTCCCGCCCCCGTCAGCCGGCACGGAGGGGGGTCGATCGCCATGACCCGGTCAGTTGAAAAGTAGCTTGCGAGCCGGAACAGTGTGAGCACCCCTGCTTTAGACGGAGCAAAAGCTTAGTTAAGCCAAAGCTCTGCTGGATGTGGCTTTTTTCTTGACATTCAATTATCTCCAAGAAACTCAATTAGTGCTTTTTTCAAAAACGTCGAACCGCTGCGCAGTGTGAGGGTTTAAGCTGCGGCGGCGAGGAAACACGTGGCTTCTAAAAGAGGTTGAAGCAAAAGTCGACTTTTGGAGAAACACATATTATTATGTATTTGTTTTACACACGATTACTCCTCTTTTACTGCTTTGTGAAAAGACAAAGGCGGAGGTTGCAGAAACTAACCGGGTGGTGTCTCTCTAGACGGTTGGTGCTTGGAGGCGTTCACTCTGGCCCAGAGCCGGATGCTGGAGGAGCTGACCAACGTGCTGATCGTGTTGGTGGTGGGAAAGGTCTGTAAAGCTGCTTCTATCTTCACGTACAAAAAATAGAAATCATGTGTGATTTTGAGAATAACTGAATGTTAAATTATCGTTGCTACACAGAAGGCTGAAAGCTGCCGTTTTTGACCTTTGTCGCCGTTTTTATCCGACTGAAGGTGGCGCACTACCAGCTGATGAGGTACAAGGCGGTCAGAGCTTTCGTCCAGAGGAGAGAGTACCTCACCTGGCCGGAGGACCCTCAGGACCTGGAGTGGTTTTATGAGCGCCTCGTCTCACAGATACTCAAAGACACCAAGTTGAAAAAGGTTGGCGAGGAGCCCGACAGGGGACCTGCTGATGAGGACGGCGTCCAGCTCCAGGCTATCAGAGCCGCCGCTGTGTGAACTCCGGCCTCCTGTTGAAGAAAGACTCGCTGCTGGGATGAGGACCAAGTGCCCCCTGCAGGGGAGAACGAGTATTACCAGCTTCAGAGGAAGGGAAGGCAAAGACAGACTTATGCAGAACCTCTTCGGCCCTGAACATTTGTAGGTAATCAGATAATCTGTGGTAAAAAATTCCAATTATGTATAATTCCTTTTTTTCATGTGGATATTTGGTCATTGTCCAATTTTACAGCATTACATGTCAATGATAAGAAGTTATGTTGTTGGAATTATTGTGTTGACTGGATTAAATGTTTCTGATTATTGATTTATAACTAATATGCATCTGCTAATCGCAAATATAAAAAAATTCTAATAAGAAATATACGTAATATATAAATATAAGAGTACAAATAAGTCAATTTTGCAGATTTGTATATTAAATGCTTGTGTGCACAAATAAACCAATTGGGGGTCAGTATGTAACTCTGTCCTTCACTGTCAGCAGAACACGTCCGTGTCCTCACGCCACTAAAAACAAAACCAAAAGAACTATTAACATCCGGATCCAGAGGGAAGAAGTAAGAAACATTCATAGGAAGTTATGCTCCAATTGGACCAAATTTGTTGATTTTGAATTCCTGAGCAATAAGACTTCTTCTATTTGAAACACTAACATTGCTCCTCAGCGGTCTTCAACTTCTCCTGAGGCTTTGTTCTTATTAACAGCCTGAGGGATGAATGCTGACACATCTGTACGGTTCATCGTACGCTCTCTAGTGTCTGCAAAGGGTTATTTTATTTATTAAAGGGGAACTCCATTTGTGTTCCTAGATCTGGAATTTCTCCAAATGTTGCCCCCAAAAAAGAAATGTTAACATGGTGTCTAAATTTAGCCAGAAGGTGACATTTTTTATATGTATAAAAATGGAGAAAAGCTGAAATAAACCCTTTTTTCCAGGAATGCTGCTACAATTTTATTGTGTATAACAATAAAAAATACTTCTACCAGCCGGCTGTGGGGCAGCTACGGACAAACAAGGGTTCAGAAGCGAAGTGAAACCAATCCAATAATTAATGTCAGTATTGAAGAGAGTTCCTGTGTATTTTCATGGTTACATCACTCAGTAAATCCATTCAACAGGAGAAGTTTTAGCTGCTAAACTCTGCCGCCGCAGCTTCGGTTCATTTCTACAGACGTTTAAATGATCGACGTGTCATTTCCTTTGTAAATCACTGTGAGGTTCCTGGTTGGCTGAAAGGAGCCTTTTGCATTTGCACTTGTGTCACCACTAGAGTGCGTACACAGAGGGGGGGTCGGTTGCCCTCCTGTGTGGTTTCATACACCGTCAGACGGGTCCATCCGTCCCCCGGCACAGGGGGGGATGTGGGGGTCAGCAGGTTGTTCTTTCATTCCAGCTGCGTGTCTGAAAGCAGGAAGCCGCTGGGCAGAGCGAGCGCTTCCGTCCTGTTGGCCGCCGGCCCGCTCGCAGCCTTTATGAGCCAGCTGCTGGGAACATTACGGCCTCCTGCTGCTTCTACGCGGGACGGTCCGTTAATCTGAGCCCGGTGCAGGTTCACATCCGCCTGACCTCAGGTCTGCCACTACTTTACACTTCCTGGGATTTACCCGTTCTGGATTTCCAACATGTTCATATGCAGCATGTAGTGGGCCTCATTTGGATGATCCATGAGCTATAGGAAGCCCCCCCGAGGCCTTCTGTGAATGCAATGAATACACCATTCAAATGGACAAACATCTTTCCCACACCGAGTCCATTTCGTCTTTACCAAACTAACCTCCAGAGTCATGCAGGTTGTTAAGAGTGGGATCCAACAAGCTCCTTCGGGGCCCGTGTGGGGGGCCGTGTGGGGGGCCCACTGCAGGCTCCTCTACCCCTGATAAGGGGGAATTGGGGCCCTTAAGGATTTATGTTGAGGGAAATAAGCAATCGATGCATTTTTTTAATGTGTGCCAAGATCAAAAAACTAGTTAATGTAGTTGACGATAAATTTCAAGAAATAAATTAATACATTCTTTAAGGACATTTATTCTAAATAAATAAATAAATGTTTTTGCCTTTGATTTTTGATTGTCTTTTCAGATGAATTGGGGTTTTTTTTAAATGTTTCAAGGCTCGTTGGGTTAAACGAGAATAAACCGTGTCTCTGTCCTCCAGCAGCAGCTCCACCGACATCTAATTTGGAAAGTGGGAATAAATGTTTACCTTGTAAACAAGCTCGCCGTCCTCTTCAGTTATTTCGGGCCAGAACGCGCATGTCCGCCTGCAGGAAGCGTCAAGCGCTGCCCTCAAGGACGCGGCTAATGTTTGACCTCCACCAGCTCAAACAGTTACAGGGATCCTGAGCGACGGGACTCTGCAGGGAGGAGGAGGACTGTGAACACAAGCTGATCTCTGTGAGGCAAAGATGGTGTTTCCTTCAACACAGGAGCATGAAGCGAGCCCGTGTGGCGCTGCACGCTCACGTGTCGCGTCTTCTATTTGTGGAAGTGCGTTCTGGGGTTGAGGGCCAGATGGGGACGAGAAGGAGCAGAAGCTCGGCGGTACTTCTCTGCGACACCATCGAGGCCTCACGCTGCAGCTGAATCCTCCTCCTCCTGCTGCTCGGAGCCACGCGGAGATGAAATCAGATGTGTGACCTCAGAGAAGCGATGTGGGATCTCTAGATTTATTCCTCCAGACTTCTATTGAAAATCTGCAGTTCAATTTTGAGCCACATGAGGGAACCTGAAGGTCCAGAATCTGAAAAGCAAACATGCTTTTGAGACTAAATGTATTTATTGTGTGTCAGGCATTTAGATTTTCAGCAGTGCATTAAACACACTGATATACGCCTGATTAATGTCTTCTAATGTCTGGTCACCTGTTCTAGATAATAGTTGAGGTGAAGATGGTAAAAAATGTGTGAACATAATTCACGCAATAATCTCCTGCTCACACGCTTCACAGAGACCTCTTGACCTCTTGTGAAGGTTTGTCATTATTCAAAAAAGGGTGTCGCTGGAAGACGAATAAGGTGCGAGGACTGTGGAACCTCTGAGACCAGATCCAGTGCAGCCGAGCAAACAGGTGGTCGGGAGGGATTCAGCAGCAGAGAGCGAGACAGAGGTCAGAGGGGTCACAGCAGGAAGGAGGGGGGTTGAACTGTCCCTCGTTGAGTCCCACTCCCTTTGTGTCCCCACACACTCCTCAGAGAAATGTGTCCCTTTCACAGCTGGATGCCAACTGTCTGACAGATGTTGGCACGGCTCTGACGGACCTGCGTGGGTTTGTCCCCAAAGAGTCCTCCGTCATCCAGCCTCTCGTATTGTTTCCAGCTGATTAAAAGGCTGAACGTGATCAATGGCCTGGAAACGTTTAATAAATCGAGTCATAAAGCGTCTCCTGTCAACGGGTCGGACAGTCAGGAGACTTTCATTGGAGGTGTGTATCTGACGCACTGCTGGCCGGCTCGCCTCATTCTTGGACTTTAGTTTTCTCCTCGTAATGAAAGCAGGAGCTTACACTGTTAATGCAGCTTCTAAAATGATTATAGTTACACGTTTCATGTTTAGAAATGCTGACATTTGTATCTACTGGTGCTGATCAGGTCTGCCTGGGCCTGAAGAGGCTCCGCCCACTAAGTGCAGCCGCCGACCTCAGGCCCGATGGAACCGGTAGCCCTGAAGAGGCCGGCGGTTAGAAGCCGATGATTGATCGAAGCGGACGGATGTGCTTCAGGATGCAGAGACAGGGTGTGTGTGTGTGTGTGTGTGTGTGTGTGTGTGTGTGTGTGTGCACCAAACAGTGGACAATGAGAGACAACTGGACCAAAGGTGATAAAATAAAATGTACTTTATTCACACAGTACATCTTTTATCTGAGGCATGAGGACAGGATTGAACACTCGGCTCCGACGGGGAAAAAAGCCCTTTTAGAAACGTGGCACGTTTTCCTTCCGGCTGATTAGACTCATCAGGTCGGTGTGAAGGGAGGCTGTGCGAGTACGTTAAACACTTTTGGGGAAACACCCGTGTTTTCCCTCGATGACGTATCTTTAGCGACCCATAATGTGGCACGTAGCCACCTGCTGAGCGAGCAGATGTATCGAGTAGGTCCGTGCTGCTTTGTGGAGCACCTTGAGGCACTTGGTGCAAACACTGTGATCGCACACATTGTGTGTCACTCCTTGTGTTTTTACGCTGTAACACAGCGGTTTGTGATCAACATAAGCTCTCAGAAGACGGGTTGGCGGCGGCGGAAGGAGGCGCGCTGGTTTCGGTCCTCGGCGCGTTGGACTCTGACGCTGAGTTGCACTTGACTTTCAACGTCCTGTTGAAGCAGTAGAGCTTCTTGGGGGAGGCGCCGGACGCCCGCCGGCTTCTGGAACTCCTCTTGCACTTTTTGACGCTTTTCAAACCTTTGAGCTTCTCCTGGTTGCCAGAGATCCTACAACAAGCGTCCGTTTGCGGGGGGGGGTCTGTGGACGTGGTGGAGGCGTGCGTATCGCCGCCACTGTCCCCTCCCATCGGCGAGGGGGAGGAGGGGCACAGAGTCTGAGGCCGTGTCGGGGACGCGGTGCTGGCCGTTCGGCTGCCGCCGAGGCTCGGGGCCCCCGCCTCGTGTGTCTGGTCGTGCTCGTGTGCGACGGGCTCGGAGGGGGGGGGCGGGTCCACGTCGTGGGTCAAAGCCGCGGCGGTGGACCCCTGCTCTCTGCCAGAACCAGCCTGCAGGGTTGCCTTGTGGACGCAATACTTCCTGAAATGGCAGCTGTGGGCAGGTCCTTGCCTGGGGGGCACTACTCTCCCCTGTGAGCAATGGTGGAAATGGGTGGGGAGGCAGTGGACATAGTGCATACGGCACTCTGTGTGGGCCGGGTCCAGGTCTGTGGGGAGCAGAGGTGGGTTTTGTGAACCCTGGGTCTTTCCTGAGAGCTGTGGGGGGGGCGGGCAGGAAGCAGTGTCCTTTGGAGGCGGAGCACAGTGGGGGGTCCACCACTGAGGCTGGTGATGAGCAGGACAGGGCTCCCCGCAGGCGCCGTTAGCATTTTGAGCGCACTGGACCCTGGAAGGCCCGGTTCTACCGCCCCCCGCTTGGCTCTCGTGGTGGGAGTGAGAGCCCGGGGCGTCGCGTGGCTGAGGACCCTCCTCCTGCTGCTCCTCACCTTCAGGCTTCTGACCCGAGGCCAGGGGCTCCAACTCATAATGCTCCACCTCCCCGTCGCTGTTACCCAGCTGGTACTTTCCGAGGCTGGAGCCTTTCCCTCGAGGTGAGGGGCATGTGGACGTGACCTCGGAGAACACCTGACACTGCATCTTCTTGGGAAGGGGGATCTGGCCACAGGTCCCCTGGGGCCCCAGGCAGCGGCACATGCACTGAAAGAAGAAGGTGGCAAAGGCCCAGCTGATGCACATGATCAGCATCATGAACGTGCCCAGCTGGGTGTAGGCCAGGACGGTCGAGGGCATCATCATGGCCCCCGCGACAAAGGTGGTCAGCGCTGCCATGGCGATGGCAGAGCCCATGCGGCTGAGGGAGAAAATCACCTTTCCATCGCGATCGGGCTCAGGGGCGAGCCGGTAGGCCACGCCGTAGTGGACGGCGAAGTCCACGGAGAGCCCAACTGCGACGGATATGGTGACGGACTCCAAGATGTTGAGCTCCCAGCCGAGGAGCACCAGGGAGCCCACCGTCACGAAGATGGTGCCGGCGATCGACAAGATGGCGTACAGACTGATGATGACATTCCAGGTGGTCAGCAGCATCACGCTGAAGGCCACGGCCACAGACAGCGCCATGGCAACCAGGGTGCCGTCCGATAGGCTGTCCTGGAGGTCGTAGAACTCCAGGTTGCTGATGAACCAGCCGTGGCTGAGGCCTGCCGGAGCGTACCGCAGCTCCTCGGCGATCCAGGCGTCCACCTGCATGACAAACACCACCATTAACGTTAGCAGAACCAAAGCATTTAGATGAACCATGCTGCCACTGCATTGTTTCTACTACCTCCAGGTAGAAGTGGTACATCTTCTCATAGGCCAGGGTGAAGAGGTAGGTGCTCTTGAACTCCAACACTATGGCTCTAATGGTGTCGTTAATGTCGAATCGAGGTCCAGGGGTCTTGCTGTCCAGATGGTAGTTGGTACTCCGGTCCAGCTCCATGATGGCCCTCTTGATGCACAGCTCAAACACTTCCTGCTTGTAGGGGAAGGTGGACTGACTGCAGCAGGGGTATACGGAAGGCTCAGGTTCACAGTCCTGGTTCTCCATCCACTGTTGAAAGAAAGAGGGAGTTGAAGTTCATTGTATTCAGTGACCCTTTCAGGACTGTACATGTAAAAATGTGTCCTACTGACCTGTTTGAACGTCTCAATGAAGCAGCTGGTGAAGTCCTGCTCCTCTGACTGGAACACAAAGCTCTGATTTCTCAGCTTCTGGCAGAAGTTGAGAATCCACTGCTGAGAAGCCCGACTGGCAATGTTGAAGCTGCTGTCAAGCATCAGCTTTCCTTTGTTCTTTGGGTTCAGGGGGTCGCCGTTGTCCACAGGCAACACGCCCCAGATGATGGTGATTGGCATGTGGAGGTCCTCGCCGTGATGAACCCTCTCGAACATGAAGAGCTTCTTGTACTCGGCGTCGTAGCGCTCGAACGGGTGCGAGGAGCGGAACACCTGAAACTCGGCCAGCTCCAGAGACGGCAGCTTCATCTTCGGGTTGACGCAAACCACATAGGCCCCGCCCACGGTGATGGCGAGGAACCAGAAGAGCCACAGGTAGCGCAGTTTGATGACGACGCAGGGCAGCACCTTCTCGAAGAAGGTCTGGGACCCTTCGGAGACAGTGGACAGGCAGTCGTTGGCCTTCTGACAGAGACCCGCCCAGAACGTCCGGGTGCAGCAGCCCCGTTGCTGCTCCGCAGGCTTGGCGCAGGGGAACAGGCTGGGCAGGTAGCGTTCGTGTAGCACCACCACGGCCGGCAGCCAGGTCACCATGAGAATGTAGTTCACCAAAATGGCGGTGCCCGCGTAGACACCGAAGCAGCGTATGGCGGTGATGTTGCTGACGTAGTTGGCGTAAAAGGCGGCGGCGGTGGTGAAGCTGGTGACGAACATGGACAGCGCGGCGTGCTGCAGCGTCACACCGACCGTCTCGGACAGCTCGGCGCGCGGCTTGTCGAACTTGGTGTAATTCCACACATCGCAGAGCACGAAGGCGTCATCGGCGCCGATGCCGACCAGGATGATGAGGGCTGTGAGGTTCATGAAGGGGAAGAACTCAAAGTTGAAGACCAGTCGGTACAGGAAGTAGGACACGATCAGCGAACTGATGATGGCTATTATCGTCATCAAAGTGATGAACACGGAGCGCGTGTACACGCACATGACCAGCAGGACGATCACTATGGCTATGGCGGGGTACACGGTGTCCGTGAGCAGGTAGTCCTGAACAGGTCGTGTTTGATGCCAAACTCGATCCCCGTGACCGTGGTGATGCCGTCTGACGAATTCCAGTTCTCAAAATTGTCCAAGTAGATGTTCATCATGGACTCGCCTTTCTCTGTGGGCGAGAAGAGCATGCTGTGCTTGAGCACGGACGGGGGGAACTCCAGGCTCTTGGGACTGAGGAAGTCTTTGTCCACCAGGAAGTGGAGGATCTGGTAGACGGCGTTGTACTTGGTGCACTTCCGGGGCACGCTGCCACACTTGAGCTGGTCTTTGCGGCGCAGGGCCATGTCCCAGCAGTCTGGTCCCAGCGTGCCGTTGTGGTAGTGCTTGGCGCACGATCGCAGAATCTTGAGCGTGTGAGTCACGTCGCGCTCTGTGATCTTCTGACAGGACGACCTGTTGGTGAGGACGGCGACGTAGTTGCCGAGTGTCCAGCTCGGACAGCAGGAGGCGTCATTGGTGCGCTGGCACAGACTCCAGTAGTCGCGGTGGGAACGCACCTGACAACGACAGAAAAGGTGAATTAAGCGAGAAAATGAAATCCTGTTTCATCAGCTGTATGGAGCATTGTGCTGCAATACGCACCCTCGAGTTGTCCAGATTACACATAGATTTGATGGCCTGGATGCTCCACAGGTTCTTCCCCTCAGCTGATGTGAACACCAGTCTAGAGTAACGGTCACCTGCATGAGCAAAGGCCTTTGTTACTCAATTGGGAAAACCATTGGGAAGGTCAATTGTTCTCCTAGGTCCTAAACAATCTCATTGTTGATCTCTGTCACACACACACACACACACACACACACACACACACACACTAACTATCGAGCATCATTTGAGTTTACCCAGGATGCTTTGGGGCAGCTCAGGGAGCTCTCCGGTCTGAATTGAATTGGTGTCATTTGCGTGTTCTTACTTGGCACATCACAGAAGAACTCTTTACTGAAGTCCCACTCTGCTTGTCGTTTGTCTCTATCACTGTGGTCCTTGGGCCACCTGGGTTCGTGGTGACTAATACAGCCATAGAAGAAGAAACAGAAGGTTAGCCCTGTAAACATTACTTGGGGGTTGCCAAAATACCACAGATGGAATGTCATGTTTGGCTTGGAACTACAATCTATGCCTTGCAGTCGTGTGGAAGGTTCCGTTCATGTGAGAGGGTCCAGCAAACTGTAGGAACATTTATTGCTGCTTGCTCAAGAACCTCGTCATTATATTTGGATGCCACAGAGTCCTCGGTCTACTCGGGAGCCTTAGTTTGCAGTTTCTTTTGCCATCCCCATCTGGGATGAACATATAGACGTCTATGGGACTAGAGGAGTCGCCCCCTGCTGGTCACTACAGAGAAGTAGAGTCATTTCCTCATAGACGTCTATGGGAGCAGAGGAGTCGCCCCCTGCTGGTCACTACAGAGAAGTAGAGTCATTTCCTCATAGACGTCTATGGGAGCAGAGGAGTCGCCCCCTGCTGGTCACTACAGAGAAGTAGAGTCATTTCCTCATAGACGTCTATGGGAGCAGAGGAGTCGCCCCCTGCTGGTCACTACAGAGAAGTAGTCATTTCCTGTGTAGATTCTGTCCCACGTTACAGCGGCGTGTTGTGCAAAATTGGAAGAAACTTGCTGACGACATTATTGAGGTATCAGGAGAAGATGATGCCTTTGATCGTGCTTTCCCTGGCACGATGCTTAAAGAATCATCAATGGCCTCCTCCCCCCCTCTTAATGTGTCTTTAATGAGCTCACTATCACAGCATTTGGCATCAATTTCCAGGTCAGCTGTAACGGTTCCCAGTTTGTGTTTCGGGGTTTAATGCCCCCCTCCTGCTGTTAACATATAACTTCCCCTGAGTTGTATCCTTACACCCTGCGTCTCCCCGTCGTGAGAGCCGGGTCGTGACGTAATAATCCTAATAGTGGATCTGACTGAGCGGGGGGGTCCCGGAGAACGGTGTGTGTTAAGGGAGCCGGTGAGGATTAGGGTCCAGTGTAGACAGGAGGTTTGTCTTTGGGGGACGAGAGCCGGAGGGCAGCGTAATCAGCGGGTTGACAGACAGAAGGGGGGCGGGGGCGGGGACAAGGCAGGGACGCTCGCTGACAGCAGCAGAGGCCCCTCTTGTGCCCCCACAATTACATCCGAGGACAGACAGGGAGGACAAAGGGCGCCACAGACGGGGAGGAGGACGCGGCCTCATCAGCACCGTGGGGGGATATGACCTCCCTGCCATGTCAATGTCCCTCATCAGAGACAGCGAGACAAACCCGGCCCTGCGGGTCAAAGATGATTGAAAAAGGAAACCGTACATGTCGATGAACACAGACACATAAATGTGGGATTATCTTACATTCACTTGGGTTTTCATCAATGGGATGTAGGATTTTAGTCTTAAGACTTAAGGCTGAGCAAACGTGAACCGCAGCTTGCTGCCAGTCCCCCCCAGACTCCCCCAGTCCCCCCAGTCCCCATCAGACCTCCCCAGTCCCCCCAGCCCCCCCCCAGTCCCCATCAGACCTCCCCAGTCCCCATCAGACCTCCCCAGTCCCCCCCAGTCCCCATCAGACCTCCCCACACCCCCCCTACACCCCCTCAGTCCCCCCCAGACCCCCTCAGTCCCTCCCCAGACCCCCTCAGACCCTCCCAGTTCCCCTTAGACCGCCATCAGAGAATGGTTCATCTTTCTGATGGGACTCTGTTCTGATGTCTCACTGGTCCAAAGCGGAGAAGACGTCTACAGTCCAAACCTTGTGAACACTGAGGGAACCCTAAAGGGAGAAGCTGAAGACAACAACTCCCATGATCCCACGCTCCTTCAGGACAAAGACCAAACACTGCCGCCTTTTGGAATGTGGCTTGGATGGAGAGGAACGAACATACTGTGAGTTTAACCAGACTGAGAGAGGGACACAGGGACACAGACTGGCTCTTGATCAGAGGACACATCTTCTATTGTGCATTCCTTTTCTTTCAGTGGTCAACAGAATCCTCCCCCTCCTTTGTGGCTGTTGAAACGTTTAAGGGGGGCGGTGGTGGTGGATCATGAATCTACGTTCAGTAAATGAGTACATGAAGAAGAAGGATGACAGTAATTACAGATGTTGGAATAGTGGGAGGAGACGTGTGCCACGTTACTTTTTGGCCTGCTCATCAGCGTATTTGAAGGGGTAGTTGGCCAGCGTGGCCTTGTAGCCGGTGTTCTTCACCATGTTGTTCCATGTGACCAGTCGCTGGCCAATGGCTGTTCCCCGTGGCTCAAAACCCTTTTGGGGAACAAAGACAGCAAACGGCAGGAGAAACAAGTTTACATGAAGCGAGCCAGTGGTGCACAAACAACCCGAGAGCAACAAGCTGACATCCCTTTGTAATGATGATGTAAGAGCATAGACAGGAAGTGGACCAGTGAAGCTGTGGCAGCCGTCAGGTCCTGAGGAAAATCAAATGGAACTTCTGTCCATTACCACATGCAGCGCCGTCACCTCTTTCAACTTAAAAATAGCTGAGTCAGACTTATGAACAGGATTCTTTCTGGAGCTGAAATCAGACAGAAGTAGCAGCCGTTTCACGCCGGCGTGTATTCTCTCTAATCCGCGCATGCCGTCGCTGCCTCGGCTTGGTCCACCTGCGCCGTACTCACCAGCAGTGGGTCGGAGAAGTCGGGCAGGTCGGGCACCAGGATGCCTACGAGGGCACACACCACGATGAGCACCGTGCACACGCCCAGCACCACCACGGGCCAATCGGCTATCAGCTCGGCGTAGCTGCAAACAGGAAGGGAGTGTGTGAAGGCGGCGACGTCAGTTATCAGTGTCAAAGATCTAGTCCGGCCAAACCCATCACTGTGGGACGTATGTGGTGCTATTTGGACCTGAACCGCCATAAGAGCACAGAACAAGCTGCAGAGCTTTAGACAGCCTGCTGGGTGAGGTTCCTGCAGCGATACGGAGGGCCAGGAGGTCCCGGCTGCAGGGACCCCCACCGATAGCGCATGACTCAGAGCTGAGGGATGGCGGCAGCGCGGGGGCAGTGATGGATGGGTGACACAAATGGAATAAAAGAGGAGGAGAGGGAAAGACAGGCAGCTCCTGGCAGCTCTCACCTTTTGGGGAATCGAAAAGGCCTCGGGGGGCTGAAAAACAAAAAGAGGGAGATAAGTCAGGCTTACATGTCGAAGTGAAAACAACCGGCGATAACGACGCATCTTTCCTTCCTCGGGGCCACTGGAAACATTCAAACAGACAAAAGCACTTCTCATAAGACCCTCTGCTCCCCGTTTAAAGGGCCTCTCACATGTTACAGATGTGCTCACAGTACTCGGCCTTCTGATGCACACACAGCAGGACCAGAAGACAAGGACATGAAGATCCTGCTGGGGAGGGTCTCCACACACACGCACGCACGCAGAGGCCTTCAGCTGCTCGGGATCCATCAGGGCTTCTGGGCGTTACTCCTGGGAGTCGAGGGGAAGGGTCCGGTATGGGCGAGGGGGGCGAGGGGGGAGACGGGGAACCAGATACCCCGGATCACAGCAGGGCTGAAGGCAGATGGCTGAGAGGCTGAGGGGGGGGACGGCACTGGTGGACAAGGACAGAAGAAGGGAGCCGGCGCCACAACGTGGAAAACGGACACGCCAAACTATTCCACAACACAAAGTACGAGCCCTCTGGAGTCTGGTCCCGCCGGAGGTTTGGCCGATTTGGCCCAAATGAATTATTCCTCCGTATTTTGAGTAAAACCTGCGGAATGTTCTAATTGGCTGACATTAACTTGAGTAACTGCTGAGGGTTTGACTGGGGGGGTTGTGTGTTTCACTGGACACATTAATATGACGGTCGGATGCGAAGCAGTTTGCAAATGCAATTACACGCCAACACGTCACGGAGGTGACATATGTGGAAAAGTCACATGAGGTTTCTTGTATTACAGGAGACCTCTCCTGAACTATATAACAATAAGAGGACCTTCCCTTCATTACGTGACCTTTAACCTGGTATAAAGGCCTAATGAAAACCACGTCCCCCCCCCCCCGACTTTGAACTCACTGCCAGGGGAATATTCTTCATTCTTCTCGCTGTGCTCTCCATGTATGGCCTCTGCCTGCAGACCTCAGGACACAGATATGGCCCCAAAACGGACAGGAGGAGTTATTGGAAATAGCTGGAATGGTTTCACTGGAGAGCTTTCAGACATATCTATCCGTCTTCTGAAGGTCTGTTTTAGATTTAGGGTTGCGGCGCTCCAATGCGTATCCGTCTTCAGCCGATTGGAAAGACGCGCGGCATAACTCAGCTGGCTATCTGGCCCCCGGACTCCTAACAGCAGATACGAACACGCTTCCAGGCAACGAAGGGAGAAGAATTCAAGACGAGGCAACTCCAGGACCTTTTTGGGCTCAAGCGGTCGACTAAAACAAATGAGCACAACGCCGTCGGAGCGGAGCAGGCCGGCGTGCTGGTGACTACTGCATGAGGCCGGTTGCCGTGGAGACAGTCGGAGCCGACTGAGGATGGCGAGGCTCCAGGTTCAACCGCTGCCGCTCTTCTCCAACACCTCCGTGTCATCCGATCCACCGCGGGGGGAGCGATTGGGGATAATTAAACAGGTAAACACGGAGCAGCGGCGCTGACGGAGGGGGAAGCGCAGGAGCAGGTGGTGTGTGAGGAGGCCGACACACCGCCGTCTTTGAGGGCTCCCCTGGACAAAAGGTCACGACCTAAAGAGAAACACTGTGAGCTACCAAACGTGTGGCTTTCTGACAAGCACTTGAAAGATGCCTTTAGCAACAAAGCTGACTTCTATACACTCACACTTACCACAATATATACTCAATGATAATAATGCTCGAATTTAACAGTATTCTCCACGAACAGAAGAAACAAAAAGGTTAACTAGGCTTGATTGTATGCAGCTGTTCTGGTGTTTCGTAGGTAAAGGATAGTTTTGTAGGTATTGTTGCCATCGTGGAATATTTTAAGAGATAGTTTTATTTTCCAGTGTTTTAAAACTACGACAGTATTTTTTTAAGTTCATGGGATATTTGTATGTGCGAGAACACTAAAAGCCAGCTCATCACACGCGCAATCATTTTCTGGCACGTTTGAGGTGTTTTCAAAAACACAAGATGGGGTGCAGGACTCCTCCCGGGTCGGACCAAAGCAGGACACCGTAGGTCCAGATCACCCGTGTGACCAATGGACGCCACTAGTCGGGCTTGTGTGTGTATATTTATACAAAGCGGCGTCCTGAGAGAGAAGTCAACATCAATATGCCTGTGAGTGTGTTTCATTATGACCTCTATGCAGATGCAGACAGGAAAGTCTAAATCGGGCTTTTTTAGTGGCATAAGTGGGTTGAATAAATGAATAAGGATGGAGCCGGTTTCTCTAAACAAGTTAGAAAATCCTTCAGTGGAAACTTGTAACCCTATAAAACAAGACGGCGGCTGTTAGGTGGACGCCTTGTGCCTCTATACGATCTTCAATACAGCGTCTACCTCATTTGACAAACACATCTTCAGTGTAATCTCTCTGAGGGGACTACGTCACGAGGCTAATGCTAACAAGTTAGCTGAAGTAGACGTTGTGAGGTACATTAATGTCAGCAGCAGTAACACGGTGGGATTCACAGGGCATCACGTGTCCAACAGGCGCGTGGGGACACTGTCCCCTCACAGGAGACACAGGCGATTACGGACGCGCAACTTCCCGGCGTACGGGACCTCGCCACCGTAGCCAATAGCTGCAAGAGGTCAGTCCGTGTGACCTCTTTATTATGGCTGCTCCTCCCTCGTCTTCATGGCTTCAGGTTCACAAAGCCAAGAGGAGCAGCTGGTCAGCACATTACTATTCTGTCCCAAATGGTCCGGTGCCATCAGAACTGGTGTACAGCTTGGGGGGCTGCGTACGCAGAAATGAAAACGTGGTCTATAACTGATGTCATTCCAGCGGGAATAACTGGAAAACCTGAATGCAGAAATCCTCCTTTACTTGCCAACCATAAGCTACGTTTGAGGGGACACGTGTGGGCTAGAGGACCCGCAGAGGACGAACCGATGCAGCACAGTTGCATTAACGTCCTCCTGCAGCTGATACCTCCTACTGAAGAAGACACCAGGCGGGTTCACTCTCTAGTTCTCCACTTGGGGAGGTGGAATGAATGTAAACGCGACTACTTGCCAATTTTGGAGGAGTGACTGAGAACGTGGACTAAAGGACAGCGGTGCGATAAAAAGCTTGTGACTCACGATGGAGACGTCAGGAGAATACGCGTCATCCAACAGAAAACACAAATCAGCCCCCACCCAACCCTCCATCATCTCCTGAACCATCACAGCTTATAGGGGAAAGTCAGCGGCGGTGAAGCTGAGGGCAGTTGTTGCCCCCGTGGGCCCATTATTATTATTATCTCCTGTACGTATCCGTACTAAAGCTAAATAAACCAATACACATCTCGTTTACACACAGCAGCATGTAGAGAAGCGCTGCCTGTGCTGCCTCCCTAATCGACTCCATGTGGCAGAGCTGCTCAGGTTATTTTAGTCTGCAGAGACCATTTGCTTTTTTATTTTTCTACGTAGCCACTGCTCGTCATCTGTAAGCCTGCAGCAGCCACAGCGACAAACCGCTCCCTTTCAGAGTGGCTGACGATGTCGACCAGCCTGCAGCCGCCAGCCGAGCTGCTGAGGAGAAGTTCTGACAACGTCCTGCTCACTCCAGGCTCTGATCCGCCTTCCTGGGACAGCGTGGGGCCTCTGGTGTGGGACGGCTCCCTCTATGCGCTTTGCTTCAAACTCAGGACCTTCTGAACGTCGGGGAGGTGAGAGATGAAGATGGTTCAAGAGAGAAAGAAAGAAGGCGGTAAAGTAAGTAATCCCGAGGGCGGGACTACCACCACGGAACCAGCTCCTGACCCAAACAAGCCCTGGACTTTGACCACATATTCTTTCACTCAGTAAACTATCGATTAGTGGATTTAATCAAAGCAACGTTGTTACATTGTGTGTTTAACGGCAGCAGGAAAATCCACTAAAGGAACGTCGGTGGAAGGAGACGACCGATTGGTCCTCTAACTCAGTGATTCTCAACCTTCTGGGTCGCGACCTCAGTGGACAAACTAAAGATACAAGCTGTCATATCTTCATGGATCAGAGCGAGGGACAAGTCAGCTGTAGAATCCCTCACCACAGTCATGCCTAAAAGAACACCTGTATTCTATTCAAATGTCTGCATGCGTCACTCATCCATCCTGGGATAACTTCTGAGATTAACCTCCTGCATCCATCACGCAGCCTCCACCCAAACCCCAGGAGCCGCAAAATACACCCATACATCTCAGCAGACTGCAACCTCCTCATGTGGTTTGGGTTTGCACCACGTGGATGGTGCTATTAGCTGAACGTAGACCTGACCGCTGGTTTGTCACACATCAACACCAATGAGGATACGGGTGAAAAGGTTTGAATGTGCCTGAGCTTCAACTACGGCAACTTGCCAACAAAGCCCCAACGTCAGCTTGAAGAGGACCTAGTTGTCCCCCATCGCTTCGGCCACTAGAGTTCTGGAGTTCAAGCTTTTGAAAGGTGGAGGAGTGATGAAGTATACGGCTCTGATGGTGGCAGCAACCTGTCAATCACAAGGTAGTCCCGCCCTAAAGCATACCCTGGTTATGGTCTATTTGACTAAATGAAGATCAGGACCTGAAACTACAGACGGAGACATACGTTCATCTCACTAAGGGAATAAATCAGGAGTCGTTTTCTGGTGGACTTCTGTACAATAAGGAGTTCAGCAAAGAGAACGCAGGTTTATTCTGAGTCTAAAACGATTATTGAATTGGGTTTCTATGCATGCAGTATACACACACACACACACACACACACTATATACAGAAGATTGCAAGCCCTGTGGGAAGGAGATATTGTGCGGTTTGTCAAACACTTATTATTTATAATGTGCAAAGCCTCGTCGAGCTGACACCCCGAAACACACCATCACTGTCAGACAAAGGCCTGCTGGTTGAGGCCTGCAGCTGTCTGTGCAGGGAGGGGGAGACACAGAGGGGGAGAGCGAGGGAGCGAGGGGGAGAGCGAGGGGGAGTGAGACAGAGAGGGGGAGAGCGAGACAGAAGGGGGAGAGCAAGGGGGAGTGAGACAGAGAGGGGGAGGGGGGAGAGCGAGGGGGAGTGAGACAGAGAGGGGGAGTGTGACAGAGAGGGGGAGAGCGAGTGAGACAGAGAGGGGGAGAGTGAGACAGAAGGGGGGAGAGCGAGGGGGAGTGAGACAGAGAGGGGGAGGGGGGAGAGCGAGGGGGAGTGAGACAGAGAGGGGGAGAGCGAGTGAGACAGAGAGGGGGAGAGTGAGACAGCGGGGGAAGCAAGGGGGAGTGAGACATAGGTGGGGGAGAGTGAGACAGAGGGGGAGACAGAGGGGGGGGAGTGAGACAGAGAGTGAGAGAGGGGGGAGTGAGACAGAGAGACGAGATAACTGACATGAAGCAGAAGAATTAGGCGTTCCAGGGATACAGAAGTCGAAGTTTCTGCAGACGCAGAATGAACGCCAACAGAGCGCTGAAGAACGTGGGCGGGTCACCACGCAGACACGTGGTCCTCCGTAAAGCAGAAGAACGGTTTGGACCCTCCAGCTGATACGTGATGGACGGCTGCACACTGGAGTTGCCGTGTTTTCACACAGCTTCTTAGCAACCAAACCAACTGGCGCCTACAAATACAACGCGACTCAAACTTGCCCAAAATAATAAAAGCTGACCTTTGCTGAGACGCCGTCGGGGCGGAGGAGGAGGAGGAGGGGGGGGGGCAAGGAATTCTTGCTATCTGACAAGGCGTGAATCTAACCCAAACTGGTGGTTGTCATAAACAATGGGAGGGAAGAGAAACGTTCATCTCCAGGGGAGCAGCGTGGGGGGTTAAATACTCGCCGTGACCCCCGGATGGTTGAGTGTCAGGGAAGGGGCTGGTGGAGCAGGTTCCTTGGACCTGGGCTGCCCCGCGGCTACACCTGATCTGAGATCTGCTTACAGGTCTCCCCGTGGCCTCCAAGCGTGCACTGCGCCCGGAGCCTGCCGCTGGGACACCACGGCGCCGACCGCCCCGCGGGTCGCCCACCCAAACCAACCGCGGTGAGTCAGTGGGTTTCAGAGTGAGACGTCCTCCCCGCGGCACACGTCGTCTCGGGCGTGTTCAACCCCTCGCGGCGGGCAGCGTGGATCACGTGTCAGTAAGCAGAAGCTCAGTGTGCACCAAGGCTCCGTGTTTGAATCAATAGACGCACTGTGGATAAAATCCTGATGATACCTTCTGTCAGTGAGACATTTCACCGGGCGATGGACCCCCGGACCACAGGGTCCGACACACACACACACACAAGCTTTCAGAGTCACCAATTGGCCCCACCGAGCCGACCAGCTGACCGCCCGAAGACGCCCGTCTGCCATCCTGGATCGTCTCGCAGAGACAACCATCACAGACTGGACGCTGCTAACAGACACAGCAGCCGGCTCCAGAAGGTCTGCTCCATCTCCTACGTGGATTAGACTCGCTCTCAAAAGCAGAAAGATGAGGAAACAAAGTAGCAGCTAATGTCGGTAATGCTCAGGGGAGAACAGGAGCATCAGCTCCCCCCCGTTGTGAAACGGACGTATGAAGACGTATGAAGTTACTCGTGCGTCTGTGTGTGTGTGTGTGTGTGTGGGTGAGTGTGCGCGCTGTGATCACAGATTTAATCCCCCGGCTAATCTGGCACATCGCGGCTGCTGGGCAGAGAAAACCAGATACCCGACACCATCGTATCGGTCAGATCTGCCGTGGTCGACGCCCACGTGACCATCGGCGAGCTCCAGCAGGAACGCGAGGCGGGAAAGAAGGGAGGCGAGCTGTGAAGGAGCTTTTTTTGTTAACGTCTGGGTTCAGGGAAAGACCCCACGCGTGAGACAGGTACACGGTTTCCCAGCGTCTAATCTCCCCACGTGACACACACAGCACAGGGAAGTGTGTGGAGGGGGGCCGCCTGGGAGCGAGACCCCGGGCCCCGTAATTCAAACCCGTCACCGCTGAACAAGAGGGACCTGTTTGGTAAATAAAGAGAGCGGTTTCAACAGACGCAAACGTCCCAGTGCACATCTGCTCCCCATTCGCATGTGGAACGGGAGGCCGGGGGGGGGGCGACTTAATAAAGTAAGAGAAAGAAAAGGGGGGTAAAGTAGAAGGTAAAGGGAGCGCGTGGAGGAGAAGTCTCGGTGCCACCCAGACGTTCCATTGGTGCCCTGTGGCCACATGTGGAAACCTCCCCTCTGAGCTCCACCCACGCAGAGGCTCTGCAGGAGAAGATCACCGAGTACAGCAGGATGAAAGGGGTCAGCGCTGACATGCTGCCACGAGCGTAATAAACGAAACAAGTAAAGCGTAAGCGTGTCAGTTTGCCAGCAGCATCACGGCGGATGTTGCGGTGGAATTGTCTTAATAGGCTTTAATAGGACTTAAAGCCAAAAACATGTTGTGTGACTGTGGACGTTTTGCCAAATGTAAAGAGATTCAGCTGCAGGACCCCCCCGCTGTGACCCCCTCGTGACACCAGGGGTGTTAAAAACAAGCGGCCGTTTTTTGCCCCACATGTGTTTGCATCTGTTTGGAGATACAGATTGCAGCTCTGAGCCACGACGCCTTAGAAGAAGCTTCCGTCTGGACAAACGGTGAGAAGCCTCCACTGGAGCCGGCTGCAGGTAACCCAACCTCCAAAACGCCGCCCGTATGCGTCCCCGTCCCCTAACCACTGCATTCCAGGCCCAACACGACCCCTATGCATGCATGTGGCGTGTTGTTATGCAGGGGGCCCGGGGGGCTGTGAGAGGCCCTCTGTTTGGGGTCAGTGAATATATAATCATGCACGCAGCCGCGCTGCGCGCAGACAGCTACGCGCTCTCTGGGACTGGAACCAGCTGAAATATGACGTTTGTCAAAGAAAGGTCTCCGTCATCCGGCCCCCCGACCCCCCCGCACAGGACACCGTCTCCAGAGGCGAGCGAAGGCCAGAGAGGGTCCTGTTAAGATGCTGCTGATGAACACAGCAGTGGGATCTACAGGAAGCGGCTTTTATCAGCGGCTATTCGCCAATAAAACAATTACTCTAATAGGGAGGAAAGCGTGAGCAGCCAAAACAACAGAGGGCTTTTATTGTGAAGAATTTATAGCAAACTAAACGTGTTTATCACTAAATTGCCAGAGCGTTGTTCTGTGCGATCCTTCAATAAAAGGAGATTAGTAATACTGCAGGGAGGAAGAGAACGCAGTTAAAATAACAGGGCTCTTTTATTGTGAAGAGTTTATAGGAAATTAAATGTGTTTATCACCAAATTACTTGAGCTTTCCTAGCAGCTATTCTTCAATAAAAGAAGACTACTAATGCTGCACGGGGGGCTTTTATTGTGAAGAATTTATAGGAAAAACCTTGTACCAGCAACTCTTTGGACCATGAAATGCATAACCGGTGGGTGACGGGGGACACACACTGATGGACACACACTGATGGACACACACTGATGGACACACACTGGTGGACACACACTGGTGGACACACACTGGTGGACACACACTGGTGGACACACACTGATGGACACACACTGGTGGACACACACTGGTGGACACACACTGATGGACACACACTGGTGGACACACACTGGTGGACACACACTGATGGACCCCGTACCTGATTCCAGCAGCCTGGTTCTGGAGGTGCTCCTGCCACCGCTGGTGATGCTGGTGCTGGAGGCCGAGCGGGGAGGCAGGGTGAGGGGGACGGTGGTGAGAGTACGTGCAGGCGGGGAGGCAGCACTGGCAGGACGGGGCGGATCCCGGGTGGGGGGCGGAGCCGGCCCCCGGCCCTGGAGGCGGGGTCTGGAACAGCGGGCACTCCTGCTGTCCGCACGGGCAGCAGGCGGCCGGGAGGAAGTGACACTGCTGGCAGCAGAGCGGCGGGGGATGCAGAGAAGGGGAGGAAGAGGCCGGCGAGGAGGAACCATTGCGTCTGGCCGGCCTGTGGGGGTCCGTGGGCGGCGGGGGGGAGGCGGCCGGGGGAAGGGTCCTCAGGGAGCCGTTCTGTTTAACCACACCGCCGTTTGGGCTCGGCCTGTTCGCTCTCTGGACGACGTGCGAACTCTGCGGCGCTTTGGGTGCCGCGCCGTCTGCCGGGGGGGCTAAGAGGGGGTCCCGGCCGCCGCCGGCCGGAGTGCTGATGTTGGAGGGGGCATTGCTGAGGGCCGGAGGGTCCCCGCAGGCGTCACTCAGGGCCATGGTCCTCTCCCAGCGGGCCGGGCAAGGACACTGTCACTCCTCTGGAGGGGAAAGGGGGCGGGACAGGAAGAGGACTCATCAGGGGAAAGATTCATGTTAAATCAGTCAATACAGATCAATCAATTAGATCCCACCGCTATTAGACAAGGGCTTGAGTGTAATCATTGATTTCCCTCTTCCTCCTGTCAGCATGGATCTATGAGCCTGTTAGCTTAGCATAAAGTCTGGAGACAGGTTCTGTCCCACAGTCATTGCTTATTCATTCCATACAGAAACAAAAGTTTGAAATTGCCTCTGAGCCATAAAGTGGAAACTTTAGGTGACTTTCTGCTCCAGGACAGAAGAAGGGAAAGTCGTGTGTCAAACAATGAGTCGTCTTCCTGCCGAGCTCAGCAAGTCCTCTGAAATCCAACTCCATGTGGACATTATTGTGTCCATACTGAGCATATTTGCCAAACTGCTGCGTTATTCATTTGGACACATTACAAATGAGGAAGCATTCATTTGGGGTTTGGACACACGGCTTCTACGCACTGAAACTACAAGATGTGATGCATTTATATTTATACTCCAGGGCCATTTAGTACACAAGGCATCTCGTTTCTTTTAGGCGATGTCATAGGAGGACAGAGAAGGAGAGACGTTTCCATTCAGCAGGAGGAAGCCAACAGTCGGCACCACATGGAATTCACTGGTTCTGCAAAGTGAGCAGACGGACTAAACATGTATTCAAAAAGAAGCCTTGAGACAAAGCGTTATTACGAGCCTCTGAAACGGGGCTTCTGTCTCCTCGGAGTCACAACAGTCACATCAAGTCGTTTCAGAACCACAGGATTCAGCGGGCGCCAACGCGACCCGGCGTAAAATGCAGTTTCAGCCCCTATATGTCACCGAATACTGGCAGGAAAAGGCTTCTGCAAGTGGGAGGGGCCAATTCAGCGAAGGCCGAGAGACGGACGAAACCGTTCAATAACAGACGTGTGCATCTCTCTGTGTCGTGAAACGGTCCACACGCTTCACAGGGATCAAGACAGCGGAAATATCGTAGCTTTTACAATCGAAGTTCCACACAAGCAGGGTTCTACTCTGTTAATCCATAACGTATCAGATGTATCATTAATGATCAGAGTCAAGGGAACGGTGAAGCAACAGATCCGCTAGAACCATAAGACTGACACGCACCCTGCCGTGCACCGTGCCGCGCACCCTGCCGCGCACCCTGCCGCGCACCCTGCCGCGCACCCTGCCGCGCACCCTGCCGCGCACCCTGCCGTGCACCCTGACGTGCACCCTGCCGCGCACCCTGCCGCGCACCCTGCCGTGCACCCTGACGTGCACGATCCTCCGCTCACATTGTTCACGGTTACCGTCTCCCGGTGTGGAACTTCCCTCTCTGATCATCGGCAAACACGAATAATCGGTCGATCACAGCTGAAAATAGTGAGGAGACGCCGGTACACTGAACCACTAGGAGCCACTTTCAGATGCCACACGGAGACAAACCCCCAACTGGAGGACGTTTCAGAGGCTGCAGACCTGAACCGATTACTGCGGCACTCTGAACATCCACCAACAGACCACGTGAAGAAGGGTTCCTCTGTGTGGTCCCGCTGCCACGCAAACGCACTGTGATGTCACTCACTTCCACCAACTTCAGTTGGAATCGTCTAAAAGTGGAACGAACACACTTCAGGTTTAGTTCTTTCAAACTAAAGAGTTCAAGTCGGCACTAAGTGCACCCGAGCGCCCGATGATACTTCACGTCCGCCTGTTTGTACTTGCGACTCGTACGTCCAGCGACACATGAAACCTGAGCGCGACGGGGGGGAGGGGAGGGGGGCGCTAAGGGAAACCCAGATGAAGTCATTAGTCCGGCTCCCACAGCTGTCAGGAACCTGTCAGGACATGAAGAGGCGGGACGGACGCACACAGCTTCATCAACATGTCCTACGTTAACAATAATACGTAGACAGCCTTCTGCACTTCGGAGTTAAGAAAACGTGCGAGCAGGTCCGCCGTTTGAGCTGCGAGGAATGTGGCTCTGTGTGTACAAACGGCCAGCGTTGACAGGCAGGTGAGACATCGGGGGCGGACCGGGCGGACACAGGCGGGCTCTTGTGTCTCGCTTCAAAATAAAAGCTGCACCAGCGCACGCTGGAAGGACGCTCGAAAAGACGCCGATCAATCGGTCCAGACGCAGAATGACTGAACACACATCAGCAGCTGGAGGAGGAGGACTGAGGAGAGAAGAAGACGGGGCGAAGTCACCTAAAACCTACAGCATCTGGAATTCAATCGGAGATTTTTACTGTCCACATTCTTCAATCCAGTGTGATAGAGGTCGTGACCTTTCTGGCATGAGGTGCCAGATTCAAGTCTCTTGACAACTTCTGTGTCATATTTACACAAAGGGAACCTTAAAGTACTTAACGAGTCAATTTCCAACAATGTAACATGTTCCTCCCATTACCAGGACATTGTACTTAGCTGCGATGGAGCCACACACACGACCTCCAGTAGAAATACACAACTCTCGACACCAGTAATAAGCTGAACAAGTTCTGCTGTGCTACAGCCAATCGGAGGCAGAGTGAGAGGAGAAAAACCACCAAACCAACCAACGTTTCCACGAAATCATGTATTGCTAGTTTGCCGTGAGCCGTCTCTCCCTCACTGCAGCCAGGAGGGATGACTTCAAAGTTCACCTCCACAACAAAAAGCAGCATGAAAATGAAGCGAGGCCGACGGGTCTTCACTGCCACACGGGACGGAGCTCTGAGGGCTCTGCTGGTGTCATGGAGGACGGCTACCTCCCCCCCTCCTCACCCTCTGTGCACGCAGCCTTTAAACAGCCAGGAGAGCAGACAGCAACACGCGTAATGATCCCGAGGGTCGAGGAACAGGGCAGGTGATGACGAGGCGCTTCTCCTCCACGTCTTTCATGTGGAGTCTGTGATTATGCGGCGAGGCGCTGAGAGGCTTCGGGCGACAGCCATCCTGCACCTTTAATTAAAGCAATTACCAGGAATCCGTCAACAGACACACAGCTTCTACCAATAATAATAATAATAACAGTAAGCCATCGCCCACGGACACAGGGGCCCCTGCTGGGCGCTCGCCCCTCGACCAGGCTGCGGGAAGCTCTCTGACATGTCTCTGGCTGTCAGGAGACACCGGGGACACACTCAGCGCCACGGGGGACGTCAGGTGAAGGCAGCAGCGGTTTTCGGTTCATCGGTCCATCAATCGCGCTGACTAAACGACTTGAGCAGGAAGCAGCAGAATAAACAACCGAAGACACGCACGTGTGAGATACGTGTACTTCATGAAGCGGGAGGTCACGCCTCGCGCCTCCCCGAGGAGCCCCGATGGACGGTTTCTATTTTAACCCTTCTGTACTTCCCCGGATGTCCCCGTTAGCTTGAAGGCGTTCCGGTGTCCCAACGTCGGCCCCACCGCTCGCTTTGACAAACCGCAGCGGGCGAAGCTCGTCCTACCGTGAGCTCGTGTCCCCCGGCGGCTCGCACTTGTTGTCCCGCTGGGATCCGCAGCACCGCCGAGAGGAATAAAAAGAAGCCTCAGAGAACGAACCACGCGCGCCGTGAAACGGGAAAGCTGTCCCGGCGAGAGCGCGCTGTCTCCGTCTCCGTCCTCCCCGAGTGACGAACACGCACGAGCCCGGTCTCCGCTCCGGCTCCCGGGACGGAGCGAGGAGGCGGGGCTGCAGGGAGGGAGGGAGCGAGGGGGCGGGGCTCGAGGGAGGAGGCTGGACTACCCGGTAGGAACGCTGATAGGACGGCCTCTGCTTTTGACCCCGCCCCCACGGACACGGACCGCTGGCACGCAAACTAAACAGCTAACAAACTAAATAGTATCAACACGAGGGAAACGTCAACTATCATTGACTATCATCATCATATTAGATAATTAACAGATCTGCTGCTTTAAAGATTACACCAGGATGCACACATGCTAATGGACTAGCCTACATTGGGAACGAAGCAACGAGTTTAAACTAGTCACAACTTTCACTTGAAAGATTTTTTTTAAGTTACTTTCTTTTATGAAAGCTGTAATGTTTCATGTTGTAACAAATACATCTCATACATGAAACTTCCAAAGGTTTCAACCACCCTACTTACCGAGATACTAAACAGCCTTTAATTATCTGCATTTCCACCACATCATTCCTAAATAAGGCCAGACGCTGAACATCAGAATCATTTAAATTACACATGACTACTACAGAGTTCTTTAGTTTCTGCAGCGGTTCCCTGATGTGGAGATTAATTAATGCTCCGCTGACTGGAGACTTTTCTGAAGATGCAAATCCTCACAGAACAACTGATGTGTCTCGGCGGGGGAGGTCAGCGCAGGGAATGCTGGGAAGGCGGAGGGCCATACCTGGCTTTGATTTCAGCTGTCCACCAGGATTAGGACACAGTTCATAATAGCGAGCTGTAATCATCTGCAGTGGTGGCTGAGGCGCCCAGCCGGCCCCCGGGGGCCCCGGCGGGAGCCTCAGCCATTTACTGCTTTTGTAGTTGCCTCTTGTAATAATAACGGGTACTAATGGGCTGGAGGAAAGTTGAGCATTTATTGCAGCTGGTCTCAGTGTCCTCTGACACAAAAACATCTCACTGCACGCCGCTGAGGCCGTTTGCCGGGGGTCACGTGACCGGCCGGGCTCAAGACAAACGGGCGGCCTCCTCTGAAATAACACGAACGGGCCGTCCGGCGTGTAGCGTTGGAGCCTGGGTCCGGCGAGCCGGGGGAGAGGTCTGCTGGCGTGGAAGCAGAGGGAGGAGCCACATCAAAGGCACCACTGTACCAGGAAGGACGGGGGCCCCGGTGAATGGCCCCTGGGATGATTGCACACAACTCATCAAAGTGACAGGTTTAGCGCACAACAGAAAAGGAAGGAGGGGGAGAAGTGAAAGAGAGGGAAAGAGAGAGGGCAGGACCAACGCGCCTGAACCATCTAAGGCCTAAAAATAATGCTCACGCGCTTTCAAGCGTATTGAGTCACTTTTCAAAAGGC